TGGAAAGCCCATCTGTGTTAAGCATGTTGAACCTTTCACCATGCAGCGTTTCTAATTTTCCTGTTAGGAATCTCTCCATATGGAAGTGAGAAAACAAATTACATAAATTGCTAAGCTTGGAGAGGTTTTTGCAGCGTGTCTGCCTCTGGCTATCTATTCCACAGAGTACTTCCTCATTAGTAAAAAAGAAAGTAGGAACCCAGTTAATAAGACTGGTATTTCTTTTCCTTAATGTTAAGCCAATTTCAGAATTTTTGAACCACAAGTCACGACTGGATGCTTATTGCAACATAAGCTAAGTGTCCCATGTTGTCAGTTATTTTCAAGAGATATAAAGCAAATATGAATTTAAAGGTAATATCTAATCTCAGAAGATTTTACTTTTTTCTCAGGTTTAAAACTTATCAGTATACACATAGTTTAACTGGGAACAGTGTAGTTCTTTACAATTTCTGATTTCCTCCACTGTGTAGCTCAAACCTCTTTAGCTTATTTCTCTCAAACATTTCTCTGGGCTTYCAAGTGGTTTCACTAGAAGGGTGGACTATTCATTGGGGCTCCTGGTGGCTGTGGAATCATCACCCTCTGTACGGGTCCTAGGATCTGACATGCCCCCTCCCAGCATGGCAGCTGCTGACTCAGCATTCAGTACTCCAAAAACTGGTGGCCACTTGAAGACAACCCTACTGGAAACTGCCCGCCCTTGCAGGCTTGGTGGACTGCCCCTTGCTTAGAGAGATGTGTGAGCCATAATGCCTGTGATTGTGCTGTGTCCAGAGCCAACTACACTGTGGTTGATTAATAAATAATGGGTTGTTTATCTTGGAATTGTTTATATTGGCAGATGCTCTGAAAGATTCAAAAGCTGTCTGTAAGTGAAGAATGCCCTTTATTGTTTATTCAGTGCCTAATTTTCTATTTAATGTGAGGGTATCTTGGGTGAATTTCTTGAATATCAGACCACAAGTAAATATTCTGCAGTTTTTGCCTCAAATTTTTCAGAGGCCATGTAACTACAACCTGTGGCTGCAGATCGTCTCCAAGGCCTCTGATGTTTTGTATATATGTGTGTGTGTGTGTGTGTGTGTGTGTSTGTSTGTCTGTCTAAATGTWTGTTGGCATGTGTGTTTGTGGCTCCATGGAGAAAGGGGGCAAAGGGAAAGAGGAAGCCTGGAGTGTTACCATCTAGTTTTGTCCATCACAAATAGCTGAAATAAACTTAAGAGCATTTCTGTTTGGTTGACTGTGTCTAGCACAAGATAGCAGCTGAGAAATCAGATAGGAATGTGTGCACAGTGAAAGGCAGCAAGCATCATGTGTGGAGTGGATCAGAGGGTTGACACAGGGGATAGAGGATCACCAGGWGACAAGAGAAAGTGTATTTTGTCAGGGGAAACAATATTTTTGAAGGCTTGTTGCATGGGCAGCAGCAGTGTTCAGTAATGCTCAGCATAAAACACTGTAGGAATGGCTGGGGAAATGGGGCTCAGGTGATGAAAATCCTGAGTTCTGTCCCTCAAACAGTAATAAATTCCTGCAGGGTGTGTACCTGTGGCAACAGGCTCATCCTGTCTTACCTTTGTTGGTCTCTGCTCAGATGTTCTCAATATCCACCAATTGAGAGGTTTGACATATTGGTCTAATTTAATATAAAGATAGCAGTTACTGTTAAGTGGGAAGGAAGGGTATTTAAGAGGACACTGACTTTGTAAGTGGTCATTTCATTAGTAATATTTTCATGTGAAAGTAGTACAATGGGAGGGACTCATCATAAAGAGACCCTGCATGTGTAAAGAGTGAAGGAGTTTTGAGAAAGGTTTTTTGACTTGTGTGAAAGGAAGATGAAAAAACCCGGTGGACTTTTTGTCTAACATACCATTGCATCCCCCCAGTGTTCACTGTGTTAGGTGTTCAGGGGTGCTGGTTGAACATAATTGCATAAGACAGAGCTGTAGTGACATAAGATGTTTTAAACCTTTAAAAAAAATTATTGATTTTAATGAGGTATATATGACAGCAGAATGCATTTTGATTCATCATACACAATTACAGCACAACTTTTCATTTCTCTGGTTGTACATGATGTAGCGTCGCACCGTATGTGCAGTCATACATGCACCTATAGTAATGATGTCCATCTCATTCCACCATCTTTCCTGCTGCCATGCCCCTTCCCTCTTCTCCCTCCTCTTTGCCCAATCACAATTTCTCCATTTTCCCCATGACCCTCCGCCATTACAGATCAGCACCCACTTATCAGAGAGAACATCTGGCCTTTGGGGTTTTGGGATTGGCTTACTTCACTTACCATGATATTCTCCAACTCCATCCATTTACCTGCAAATGCCATGCTTTTATCCTCTTTTAATGCTGAGTCATATTCCATTGTGTATATATACCACAGGTTCTTTCTCCATTCATCTATTGAAGGGCATCTAGGTTGATTCCGCAGTTCAGCTATTGTGAATTGTGCTGCTRTAAACATTGATGTGGCTGTGTCCCTGTAGTATACTGTTTTTAAGTCCTTTGGGTATAGTCTGAAGAGGAGAGGGATAGCTGGGTCAAATGGTGATTCCATTCCAAGTTTTCTAGGAATCTCCATACTCCTTTACAGAGTGGTTACACCCATTTGCAGTCCTACCAGTAATGCATGAGTGTGCCTTTTCCCCCACATCCTCGCCAACCTTATTTGTTGTCTGCATTCTTGATAACTGCCATTCTGACTGGCGTGAGATGAAATCTTATAGTACTTTTGATCTACATTTCTCTAATTACTACAGTTGTTGAACATTTTTTCATATATATGTTGATCAAAAGTATATCTTCTTTTGAGAAGTGTCTGTTCAGCTCTTTACCCCATTTATTGATTGGGTTTGTTTTTTTTTTTTTTTAATGCTAAGGTTTTTTTAGTTCTTTATATATCCAGGAGATTAGTGCTCTATCTGATATGCCTGTGGCAAAATTTGCTCCCAGAATGTAGGCTCTTTCTTCATCACACTGATTGGTTCTTTTGCTGAGAAGAAGCTTTTTAGTTTGAGTCCATCCCATTTATTAATTGTTGATTTTATTTCTTGTGCTTTAGAAGTCTTGTTAAGAAAGTCAGGGCCTAGGGGCTGGGGATGTGGCTCAAGCGGTAGTGTGCTCACCTGGCATGCATGCGGCCGGGGTTTGATCCTCAGCACCACATACAAACAAAGATGTTGTATCTGCCGAAAACTGATAAATAAATATTAAAAAAATTCTCCCTCTCCCTCCCTCCCCCCCCCTCTCAAAAAAAAAAAAAAAGTCAGGGCCTAATCTGACATGATGATTTGGGTCTTCTTTTTTCTCTGTTAGGCTCAGGGTCTCTGGAATAATTCCTAGGTCCTTGAATTTTCTGCATGGTGAGACGGGTTTATTTTCATTTTGCTGCATTTGGATTTCCAGTTCTCTCTTACCATTTGTTGAAGAGACTGTCTTTTATCCAATGTATGTTTTTGGCGCCTTTGTCCTGTATCTCATATAACTTTGTCCAGTTATCTCATATAACTGTATTTATGTGAATTTGTCTTTGTGTCTTCTGTTCTCTGCCATTGGTCTACATGTCTATTTTGGTGCCAATACCATGCTGTTTTTATTACTAGAGCTTTGTAGTATATTTTAAATACTGGTATTGTGATGCCTCCTTCTTCACTCTTGTTGCTGAGGATTGCTTTGGCAATTTTGGTTTTCTTCTTTTTCTAAATGAATTTCATGATTGCTTTCTCTATTTCTATAAGGGATGATGATGGGATTTTAATTGGAATCACATTGAATCTGTATAGCATTTTGGGTAGTATGGCCATTTTGACAATATTCATTTTGCCTATCCAAGAGCATGAAAGATGTTTCCAACTTCTAAGGTCTTCTTCAATTTCTTTCTTTAATGTTCTGTAGTTTTCATTGTAGAGGTCTTTCATCTCTTTTATTGATTCCCAAGCATTTTMTTTATTTATTTTTTGAGGCTCTTGTGAATGGGGTAGTTTTCCTAATTTCTCTTTCAGAGGATTCATCACTGATATATAGAAATGCATTTGATTTATGGGTATTGATTTTATATTCTGCTACTTTACTGAATTCATTAATTAATTCCAAAAGTTTTTTGGTAGAGTTTTTTGGATCCTCTAAATATAGAATCATGTCATCAGCAAATAATGATAATTTGAGTTCTTCTTTTCCTATTTRTGTTTTAAACTTTATATGCACTTTCTCAGTACCGATGCCATTCTACTTCACAAGAGCCAAAAGTTAAAACCAATTGGCCAAGCAGTGAAAACATCTGCTGATATGGACTAAAACCTAGAATGAAACTCATTTATAGTGCTTCAGTTTTAATGCAAGATGGAACTTGTTAGAGCTTTAGAAGATATACACAAACAACAATGAAAGGATTTTTTCAATTGAGTTTATTGAATTTGAGTATATTATGAAGAAAGAGACAATAGGACTTGCATCTGAAAAAGTTTCCATATATTTTGAATTAATAAAGCTCACTTTATTTTTTTAAATAAATCTTATTGTGTATTTTTAAGGTATACTACATGGCACATAACTCAGTCTCTCAAAAACACACACCAAGTCTCAAATGGTTAATACAGTTGAAGTTAATATTTCTATCAGCTTATCTAACTATACATTTTTCTCCCATGCCAACAATAGCTATAATTCACTTATTTGACCAAAATTCTCAATACGGGGATGGGTATTTATAGTGGTTAAAGCGCTTGCTCAACATGCACAAGGCCCTGAMTTGGTCCCCAGCACCACAAAAGCAAAAACAAAACAAATTTCTAATAAAATAGAAAGAAATCCCAAATATACTACACTATTATGAACTGTAGTACTCATGTTGTATAGTGGGTCTTACACTTGTTCATCCTATGTAGTTGCTGCTTTGTATCTCGAGTGTATATGTGTGTTCTGGGAGTTGGATTTACTTAAGTTGAATGTTGAAATTAGAAATTCTTTATTTTGTTTTTTAGGTGCTGGTGAATCGGGGAAAAGTACAATAGTGAAGCAGATGAAGTAAGTAGATTTAAAACATTGAATTTTTTTTTTATGTTTTAAGTATACCCTTCATCAAATAAAGTGCTTTTTCTTTGCTTTCATTTCATTAGAATTATCCATGAAGCTGGGTACTCAGAGGAGGAATGTAAGCAGTACAGAGCAGTGGTCTACAGTAACACCATCCAGTCCATCATTGCCATCATTAGGGCCATGGGGCGGTTGAAGATAGACTTTGGTGACTCGGCTCGGGCGGTAAGTTATTTTATTGCAGTAGGCTTGATAAGTAAAAAGAATAACTTGTTAAATAATCAGGACTCTTTTATACAAGGAGTCAAAAGGATAGACGTGAGTCAGGAACTTTAGAAGTGAGTGAAATGAACATATACAGGATAGTTTATTCTCTCCTTCATGGTTACACTTACCTTATCCATCAGGTAATTGGGATAATTCAATAATTATTATTGATGCAATACTTTCTATATAACATGTATCAGGTACCTCTGTTTTTGTATTCATTGGTTTTCTATTACTGTAAAACATACCTGGTGTAATCAACTTAAAAGGAGAACATGTCTCTTTTGCCTCACACTTTCAGAGATTTTAGTCCTTGTACGATTGGCCTGTTGCTTTGGGCCTATAGTGAGGAAATACATCGTGGTGGTAGCAGGTAGCCAAGGAAGCTACTCACCTCATGGCAGCCAAGAAGTGAAAAGAGAGAGAAGAAAAGATCAGTTTTCCATGATCCTATTTAAGGGCGTGCCTCCAGTAACCTAAGACCTCCCATTAGGCCCTACCTCCCAATTGTTCCTCCACCTCACAATAGCCCCATGGGCAGGGGTCCAGGCCTTTAGCACATGTGGCTTTAGGGGACATTTCAGATGCAAACTGTAGCAGTCCCCATAACAATATTTTTGTAGTTAATACATTGTAAATTGCTTACACTAACACTATTTAAAATCTGTTCTTATAATTTAGAATTCTGAAATGACCTACTTATTTGTATTCATGCCCAGACTGCAAAGAAATCTAATCTTGAATAATGAAAACAGTGCAAAAGTTTGCTTATCTTCGCAATAGGAAAGTATTGGCTACTAAAAAACATGTATCAAATTTAAGAGCTAAAGGGGACCTTTGAAGACAAGCTAGTTTCACTCCTTTATTTTCCTAGTAAAGAAAAACTGAAACCTAGGAAATATTACAATCTAGAATGATCAAGGCTCTGTGCCTGTGCTTCTTTCTTTGACCCAGTAATTTGTTTTCAGTTTGATTCAAAGCAATACTGGTTAGTACTGTCCACAAAACATTGTTTTTCCCCAGCTCCCATTTGATTGTTTGCTATTTGAGTACTTTACTGATTCTTTTTTAATAACTGTTATAAAACTTGATGAAAAACCTTTAACTGAAGCTTAGCTCTTTTTTTGCACAARGTATGTATATTATTAATAATACTGTGCTGCATTTTTATAGTTCTTTTATCTTTTTATGTTGTGTGTGTGCGCACACGAGCACACACATACGTCTCCTTACTAATACCATGAAGATTTTCTGCATAGAGACTATAACTTTCTGTCTTTCAGTTTGTTGTTGTTGTTGTTGTTTACTTTTAACATCCAGGGAAATTCATGCTTAATAAGAAAGGAAAATGAATAAAACCCATATTAGGAAATATAGATTAGAGAAATCTAAAATAAACCAGGCTTGATTATGAGTTACTCTAAAATTTTCTTATAAATTACTGTTTTTCCTTTTAAACAAAAATTTTAAAGGCTTTAGCATGTTAATTAAAATTTTCATGTAGATTTTAAGATCCTTTTTAAGAACAAATTTTATTTTTTGAAATTTATGACATTGTCATTAGATATGTATACATAGTAATGTTGGTACTATAATGAAATAAATTAACTTACATATCATCTCACACTGAGTGTGTGTTGGGGGTGGGGGAGGCATCTACAATCTTGTTTAGCAAAAATCCCTTTCAGTTTAATTAGCTATAGTCCTCATGTTGTCAAAAAGAAAGAGATAACAGATTTTGGTGAGGATGTGGAAAAGAGGGAACCCTAGTGCACTCTTGGTAAGAATGCATATTGACTCATCCATTATGAAAACAGTAGGCAGTTTCCAAAGAAATTAAAAATAAAATTATGATCCAGTTATCACTCTTCTGGGTATAAACTAAAAGGAGGCAAAATAACCACTTGATTATGGTATCTGCAGTTCTGTGTTCATTGCATTGTTTATTCAAAATAGACAAGATAGGGAAACAACCTGTCAGTGGACAAATAGGTAAAGAGAATGTGATGTGTGTACACATGTGGGGAGACACGCGCAAGCACACACACAAACGCACACACACAATGGAATATTGTTCAGACTTCGAAAAGTTTTTTCCTCAACATGAGTGAACCTGAAGGGTATTATTTAGTGAAATAAAGCCGGATACAGATAAAAATTTTGCCTGATTTCATTTACATGTAGAACTAAAACCAAGAAAAGTCATCTGTGCAGAATTAGAGAATAAAACAATGRTCACCAGGGGCTGGGTGGTGGGGTGCAAGGGAAGGAGGAGACATAGGTCAAAGGGGACAAAGTAGGAGATGTGTAGGATGAAGGAATCTGGAGATACAATTTACAATAGAGGACTGCAGGTCATTTAAAATAATGTATTCATTTATAATTTTTCATTCAACACATRTCCAGTAAACATGTGTTGAATGAACATATGATAAGTGGATAAATTACAGATTGAGTAGTAGGGCAGTATGTTGAATAATGTATCAGTATTCTGGACATATATTTCAAAAAAAAATTCAGCAGAATTATGATTTATTAAAATAATCTTAAAATCTTAGAAMTGTTAATCACACTTAACTTTTTAATCTTTATGTAAAAGGAGTACATATAAGGACTCTACTCTTTGATTAAGGAGAAAGAATTAATAAAATTTATACCAATTCCATTTCCAATTATGGTATTTAAAACATTTTGTCAATAATGTATGCAGTATTCTGCATTCAAATCTTGTATGTGGCTATGAAAAAAAGATTTGTACCCTATAAGTTGGGAGCTAATGAAGGTTCAGTGCAAGGGCACTATACCACTGAGCTGCATCACCAGTCCTTTTATCCTTTTTTTTTTTTTTTTTTTTTGAGACAAGAGTTCTACTAAGTTGCCCAGTCTTGCTTTGAATTTGTAATCCTCTGCCTCAGTTGAGTAGCTGATTTATAGGTGTGTGCCACTATGCCTGGCTAGTGCAAGCAACTTTGAAAGAGGACTTTTTTTTTCCATATTATTCTCTCAAGGAATATTATTTTCTTACACCTCCATCACCTTTTTATAAAGTTAATTTCAGTTTAGTTTCAGGAATGACCTGGAATAATCCCTTACCATACCATAATCCCTCACCATAAGCCTTTTCTTATCTTTTCTTTTTTAGTTGGTTTACCTGAGGTTTTGGAATCTAATATGGCCTGCTTTGCATCTGTTTCTTCCTCCTCTCAGACCTTACTTCTGTTGGCCTTTGTGGTCCCTATTAACTCATCCACACAGACACCTATYCTCACACTGTTTGTGATTTGACTCTTCCCTGTTGGGTCGCCTTGCCTTTACACACCTCTGAAGAACCACTAGGCCCTCAAAGTTATGTTCAGGGATGTGTAGATGGATTCACTTTGGACCGGAGGTGGGAAGGGAAGTTTGATCTGGGTATTGAAACAGGAGTAAATAAGGAAAAAGCATTTAGCAAATAAGAAACAGTTTATTCACAGGCAGTCTGAATATATTCCTGTTTCTGAAGTATCAGTTCCTAAGTTGAAGGATAATCAGATATTGAATTCTGGTCAGTGCCGTAGATTTGCTTTACAACCTTCTGCATTGTAGCAGCTGTTTCTCCTGTTAACCTCTCTTAGTCTTCTTACATTGTTCTGTTAAATTGCTTGTCCTTTTCAAGTATGTGTGTGTGTGTGTGTGTGTGTGTGTGTGTGTGTGTGTGTGTCAAATATTTTTTCCCGTGTTTTTGAAAAACTTCTTGTTAGAGACCTGGGGTTTTATTTGTTTTTGTTTTTCAATCAATTCTAACTTCTGTGTTCCGTCTTCATAGAAAGATAGTCTCCATGTTACAATTATTTTTAAATTTTCATATTTTTCTAGAATGCCTACTTTTGTTTTTTATATATATTGTTTTGTACACCTCCATTGGAATTGATTCTTGCCAGTAGCCATTTTGAAAATAATCATCCCATTTAGGTAAAAATGCTGCTTTAACATTTGATTTGAACACCTTTTTTTCCCTACTGATAATTTGTTATTTACCCATCCAACTACTAGCTAAGTTAATTAACCTCTCTAAGCATGTTTCATTAGAAGAGAAATAATGATAACATCTAATTTGCAGGGTTGTTAGGAACAGACAAAAAGAATATAAAGTGTTTAACACATTCTTTGGTCATAATAGGTGCCCAATAAAATGTTTGTTGGTTGTTTTATTATTTACAAGTTTTATACAGTCATTATGGTCAGAATCACATTATTTTGATTTCTGTTGCTTCATAGGGTTAATTGGCAGCTAGCAGGTAAAAATCACCTTATCCTGTTGTTGTTTTTAACCAGATATGCTTTTAAGCATTTCTCTTCCATGTGAACTTGAGAATGAATTTTCCTCAACTGTCTTGAAAACAAAACATTTTAAAAACCCAGTTGATATTTCAATTGGAATTACATCTTAAATGTAGAGTGATTTGGTGAGAATTGGCTAAAAAGGTGTAAAATTTTAAGAAATAATGATGACTAATGTGCTGTGGTTTGCATCATATTTGGCAGTTAGTAGATTTGCAAAGCAGATTATACATTAGTTATTTAAAATGAGAGAAAACAATTTTTCAAGGCTGGCATAGAGCAATCAAATTTTATACCCAATGTCTTTTTAAAATTTCCTTGAAATGAGGGTGGTTCATTTGTGAATGATAACATATTGACAACATAGTCTGTTATATTTCTAATAATGTTAAGATGGAGGGTCATTAGTGTGCCTCAGGTACTGGTTACTTAGAACACTGTTGCACAAAATGTGGTCAATGGACCAGTGCCTGTCCCAAGAATGTGTATAAAATGAGGACAGAGTAAGGATAAGTATGTATATGGATTTATAGAAATTGACAGTTATATATAATATAGATCTATATATAAATAATATATAAATAGCATTCAAATATAAATATATAAACATACAAAATATAAAAATGTATATAGATTTC